TATATATATAGGTGTTATATATTGTATATAGTTGTATGCATGCCGATGTGCACGTATAGGTGTCATGTATCCTGCACCTGTATATCTATTCCGCAGATTTGATGCATTTTTTAAAAAGTTGGTTTATGGTATGCTCAAAGTTTATTTGTACTCTGCACCTTTCTGCAGACCAGTCTGGTCAGAGGACGACGTTGTAAAAGAAAACTTGTAGATATATGCATTCAATATACATGCGTGTGAGAGTACATGTATATTCATATTTGAATTTAATGAGTCTTCCAGTTATCTGCTATGAATCGTTCCCTGTATACTGCTCTTTTGGAAACAGGAGCGATCGAAATTGGAGCGACTCGAAGAAGAAATGAAATCAAGACAGGACAAGGAAGACCGTGCGGCGGCCCTATTAAATAAAATTAAGAACAGCGAACAGAATCACGCTCACAATGATCTCCAGCACGAGCAAAATTATGACATTGTCGACACGGATACATATCACAACACAAATGACCCTATTGTGAACCCTGAAGCAGACACCAGACACAAACACGAGCATGGACATGGACATCGACATGGAGAGAAAGGGGAAGCTATAGTCGGAAACACAGACGGCGCTGCAAAGGTACGCGAGTCCGAAGTCGAACGATGCGAACATCACACCACCCACTCGCACGACTCAGCGGATGATGAGAATACAGCGGTCCGCGGCTCAGACCCAAGCCACGCCGAGCGTCGCAGCAAACAACCTTCAGATACATCAGAGCATGGCGAGAGACCGCATATGGAGACATCGGAAGACGGAGACAGTGTTGCCGCAGATGCGCTGGAGAGAGCGGATTTTTTATTTGAAAATCGATCTGATATGGCAGATTCGTCACCTGAAAACCGGTCGGATGAAGCCGATACTTTAACCCAGGGTGAGTCAGATGAAAGAGACATGTCAGACGGGAATGATGATCCATCTAGCAATGACTTGGATGACTTCGAAGAGGCGGTGCGTGTGTTGGTGATAGTGACGGTGTATCAGAGAACACTCGCGCGATGTGGAGACAGGACTGTGGAAGATCTGATGGGAGTGATTGCCAACACTACGTACCCTAAAGGTACGACAAAAATCTGGTGTGTACTGGTATATTTAGTGGTGTGCTGTATCTGTCCATATGAGTTCTAAG